TTCTATTATCTTACGGTTGCTCTGTCAGTGTGTGTGTCGCTATGTCCCCACCCTCTCTCTCTCCCCATATATATGTATATGTGTATATGTAGATATAAATTTTTATATTCATATATAGAGTTTTAGAAATGTATCATTGTATCATCACATAGCCTATCTTTTCTACTGACAGTATGTCTGAAATATCTCTCATGTCTTTAAGTATTTCTTCCAAGTTAGCATTCAGTAACTACTCACTGTTTTATATTGATATTCTGTGTGTATTTATATAGTCAGCTTTTCTGGATTTAAGAATATTGAACACTGCCTTTGGAGGGTGGTGACCAACATGTCAACCCAGGAGTGGGAGCTGTTGTATCCCCTCCTCTTTTCTATTTCCCATTGCAGCCAATAAAAGCTGTTTGTATGATGAAAAAAATAAATAATTTTAAAAATAAATAATGAACACTGCCTGAGCAGTTTCTTCACCCTGTTCGCCTGTCATGTTATGAGTGACATTACCCAATCTGGAAGTCAGAACAGATCTAAATTTGGATGACACAGCCCCTTTTCAACCTGAAAGGTTGTCTGGAGTGATCAGGATGTGCTCACAGTGAGACTAAATACACTAAGCATCCATTCTCAGATCCAGATTACAATGCCCCCTGAGCAGAGTTAGCTAACCTGTGAGGTTTGAGGGAAAAAAGTCTCCACACAAGACCATGCTCACTTCTGACACCAACTTCAAGTTTGGAGGGTTTCCCAAACCACCTTCAGGTTCAATACTTTGCGAGAAGGACTCACAAAACTCACTGAGAGATGTTATACTCATGGTTACAGTTTATTACAGGGAAAAGATGCAGATTAACATCAGCCAAGGAAAGAAGCACATAATTTGAAGTCCAGGAGGGTTCCAAACATGGCACTTTTATTGTCCTCTCCCTGTGGTGTCAGGACTCATTACTCTGCTGGCATTGGTGTGTGACAACAGGCACTGACTACTGTGAACTAATAAGGAAGCTCACCCAAGCTTTGATGTCCAAAGTTTTTATTGGGGCTTCAACATGTAGGAATGACTGACTGACTGATTATCTAAATCATTAATCTCAGTCTCCAGGTTAACTGATACTGCGTTACCCAAAGCTCCCACTTGAATCACCTAGTTGGTCTTTCTGGAGTGGCCAGCCCCCACTGGAAACAAAGACATTCCTATCAGGTATGACATAGATTACCTCTTAGAAGCTGAGGGCAAGGCCGGCCTGTGGCTCACTCGGGAGAGTGCGGCGCTGATAACACCAAGGCCACGGGTTCGGNTGACAACACCAAGCCAAGGGTTGAGATCCCCTTACCGGTCATCTTTAAAAAAAAAAAAAGCTGAGGGCAAAGGCCAGACCTCTCTTTGAGTGAAGCCAAAGTTTTTACTACATCCTCTGCCCTCCCTCCCCACCCCTTCTCCTATAGGGAGCTGGTCAGAAATTCTCCTGCTAAAATGTCTGGGTATGTCTTTAAGGCCAAGAAAAAAAATACACACACACACACACACAGCTCCTCTGCTTTGCTGTGTGCAGCTGGGTGTCCTGGGGTTTTAGGAAGAGCCTGGTTTTCTCCAGAATCCTCTTAAACTTCCCCAGATGTGTCATATTTGTGTGTGTGTTGGGAAGCCAAGATACAGAAACTAAAAGGTCATATTAAGTGACTTGGGGAATCCAAAGGACACCTGGTTTTAATGTCTCTTTTTCCACTCCTGGCTCTGGCTTCTCAGATTTTGTGTCTTCCGTAGAAGAAGCTCCAAGAGGACTGATCAGTTCTTGAATTCTAAAGCTATGGCCCACGTAAGTGTGTATTTCTTTTTCCTTCTTAAAATGTGATATTTAGGTCTTATGGATATTTTTGTGAATTATCTGAAGCCTTCTTTCTACCTAAGCAAGCCGCATCTAATTACCTACTTACCAGTTCTTCCTATTCCAGTGAATAATGCCATATACCCCATGTGTACCTTTTTGGCTAATGTTTACTTGATCAATGAACAGATTTTTCAGTATATCCTATGTGTTCAGATTTTTGGTCAAGAGTAATGATGGAACAATGAAAAAGCAAATTCTTTTGAGGGAAGTATTTAAGTCAAGTCCATGGTTTGATGAGTTAAATGTGTTGGTCCCATTTGACCACAAGAAACAAAGGTCGATAAGAAGAAATGTTCAGGGCCGGCCCGTGGCTCACTCGGTAGAGTGTGGTGCTAATAACACCAAGGCCCCGGGTTCGGATCCCACATAGGGATGGCCGGTTAGCTCACTGGCTGAGCGTGGTGCTGACAACACCAAGTCAAGGGTTA